ATTCAGTGGATCTGTGTAGATCGTTTGTACCTTGGTTTTGATAGAGAATATGTTAAATTTATTATTTGGTAACGAGGAGGCGATGCGAGTGCGTGTCAAGTATGATGCAAGGATACGAATAACGATGTGTAATGGCACGTGAATCAGCGCGTGTAAAATGACGTATTTCGAATATCTAATCCTTAACGATGATAGTGAAATTACGCGCATTGCATATCTGCAAGGTTGAATTTAATGACAATGATAGTACACAAATGTAAATATTGTTGTTGGAATCGTTGTGCATGTATAAGAACACGGATTATTATCGTTATTATTCATTTTATACAGCGTGAAGGAAGCGTGGCCGACAAACTGCCAAATAAGTGACGATGCAATCTTATCAGACGCGTTAGTCGATTAAAAAATCTTAATTCAAATAGATAAACCTTCCAGTTCCGATTGCTTCGGAGTAAAGCGTGATAGTAGGGAAGTTTATTGTGAATCTTCAGCTTCTTTTCACTCGTAGGATTCTTATCTTCCCGCTTGTGTCATCGGTTACGAAATATTCCGCGTCAGCAACGAAATCCGTGGGACCCGATAGTTTCGCGGGGCCCAAGCACCTCGACTGCCAAAAGAAAAATCGGACCCTTATGGGACGGCGACCGGTAAATGCCGTTACGCGCGTCCGAATTGCCGCAGCGCGCGTTTTTTCTCGCGCGCCGCGGCGACTCGCCTTTCGAGGCACGCGGATTCGATGATTGACAGACACGCCGGACGAACGGACGGACGCTCAATCGCATTAATTGATAATCGTTCGCGGCCGCCATTTAGCCAGCCGTAATTCGTAACACGCGTCTCTTTTTACTGCGGAGCGAACAGTTTATTATCGTTCGCTGTCATAACGACAGGTTTTTACCGCGACCTGTTTGCGTCCAATGATCGGCGACTCGAGCGGAGCAAAGACTTCCGAAATTATCTAATTGAACTAATCGCGGGAAGAAAGTGAAACGTCATGACTCACGATAGAATTCGCGGCATTTCCTGCTGCACACGCTTCCTGCATAGTTTATTTCGTACCAGTTTCTTATCGCCGTCCACGGATCGTTTCCATAGCCAATGATCGTCCAGCGTGGGAACGCTGTAAAGTCTTTCCAAAATTCAGCGGAGAGTCTTTTTCTCCTGACATTGCGAAGAATTAACGATCGAGTAGACGAGAACGGCGAACATCCTTCATTGTCATTTCGAGTCGAACACGGTACGAACCTGTGACGTAGCGGGTTCGCGAAACGAGTCATCAGCGAAATTAGATTCGAATGATCGCGGCGATCGTCTGGGAAGACGGAATGTCAACGACCGTAGGACAAACGGGCCGGGTCAATTTCATCCCGGCGTCGTCTCCTTAACTGTACACGGGCTCGACGAAGAACTCGACGACGGAGGAGACACCGACGTCGATGGGGTAGCAGGATCGAAGCGGGATCACAGGGGGGGAGCGAGGGAGGGGAGGAGGATGGAGGCAAGAAACGGACGAACGCTCGTATAATCCGCGTTCCCGACGTTCTGCACCGGTACCATTACCATTACCATTCCAGGTCTTCTTCCCGTTCTTTCTTCGGGCAGCTGGTAAACAGTATTTCCAAGTCGACCGAGTAAATCAACAATCGGTCGCGTCTTCCGATTACCGTCCCGGCTTTTTCCGGCCGACTCACGTCCCCGACGGTTTTTGCGGCCGTCTCCACGCATCCTCGCGGCCGTCCCGTCGTTTCGTTGGCCCGATGCATACGGTTACGAGCCGTTCACGGCGCACCGGGGCAACTTCTTTGCGCCCGGGCTTTCCCCTTACGGGAATTCGTTCGCCGAGGGAATAATGGCGGTTAACTGTATATACAGAAACGGCGGGGACGCGCTCGGAAAAACCGGGGAGCGGATTTAATGCCGCCGCGTGGCCTCTTAATTATTATTAGATTACGCCGGCTCGCCGGGGGAACCGGTCGCGTTTGAACCGCCGACGCGAGTCGCTTTTTCCGAAATCGAGTTTGACAGCGACGTCCACCGCCGATCGGCGGACTCGCCGAGTCACGTGCGTCGACGACTTTCAGCGATTCCTCGATTACCGCGCGCGTACGAACGTTCCATCGGAGGGAATATTCGAGGAATTTCTTCTCGGTTTCTTCGACGTTTCCCTGTTTCCGCGGAGCAGCTTGTGCGCGAAACGAACGTCGATTTTTTACTCGCCTCGAAGGCGCTAGTGAAAGTGGGATATGGTAACTCGAGGATCGTCCAGTTTTTTGAAGGAACTGTTATACGATAAGTATCACTGATACCTGACGAATCATTTGCATATATTTGTAAAGGCGAATACATATAAGGTGAATAGTTGAGTGGGCTTGCAAGAGTACATCGCTGAAAATCAGTGAAAACATAGGCATTTAACGATCTAAACGAAGCCGAGTCATCTCGCTCGGAATTATCCTATCTTCGACACTTTGACTGTCAAGTGATTCTTAATAACCCGGAAACTAAAAAGTCCAGATTCTTAACGATCGCTTTAATATCTCCCCGATATCTCGTGCGTCCAATAAAAGGCCGCCAAGTTCATGAATATTCAAGTTTCGGTTGAAAACGGTGTCACCCTAATTCAGGTAGCGTGGCAGTCAAAGTGCTAAACAGCGTTTCACGCGAAACGAAGCAAGATTTTCGACGCGGAGTATCGTTAGGCAAGGGGTTGAAAGCAACCGCGAATGCGGGGGGCACGACGAAACGGCGGAGGGGTAGGTCCCGCGGTCCTCCTCGCGAAAAAAGAACGGATGGATCGTGATCCTGACGCGACACGACAATAACGCGGTTTGTCCGGTCGGCTCATCGTCGCGCGGGGATCACCGAGCCGTAATTAACGAGTTCGCGAGCCAATTGGGAGAACGGAGGAGAGAGAAAAAAGTCGGCATAGAGCCGGTAACCGTATACCGTCGCCGGCTAATTATATCATCATTTTTACTCTCTCGCATGATCGATGCGAATTTTGCTCATCCGTAAAAAGGCACGCGAGCCGGGGCTTATCGAATTTCTCGTCGAGCGTACCGGCCCGACGTCGTTTCAGCGTGGCCAACAGGTTGTCCGGAGGAGGGCCGATCCTGAAACAAGGATCGGGTTTCCCCGTAGCTTTACTGCCTGCGGGAATATCGTATTCCCCGTCAGCGGGCTGGTTCGTGCCGGAAACGGAAGCGAGCCGCGTCTCTATAAACCGCTGCTCTACGTTGTACGCCAATATTTGAGACAAACATTACCCGCGACCAGAAAATATATTAGGCTGTCCCCTGACTCTTCTTCGGCGATCCGCTCGTAACCGTCCGGCAGAATTTTTCGGAAGGGGTTGCGAGACTATAAGAGACGGAGGAAGATGGAGATCTAATCGTACACTATTCGATACTGTAACGTGAAGCATAAAATATTGTGCGCGTTATGTGTTAACTCTTAACGCAGCGATGCCACCATGGCGTGGGACTTTTATGGGAGGGCAAAAATCGTTTTATTGATCATCACTGTTACTGTTGTAATGTTTACAATGAACTCTGAGTATTGTGCTGGGTCACTTGTGTGAATTTGTTTCCGCTTGTTGTCTATGTTGTATTTTTTGGTAAGTAAACGTGAAATACCTCACGTCCGTTAAGGGTTGAAACATTAGGCTCACGGAACACGTCTGACGCAGGAATGTTTATTTGATAAATGTTTATGTCCATTTTGATAAACGCAATTAAGCGAATGTGTATTCCAATTGTATGTATTTAAAGCTGTAATTTTGTGAAAGGACATAACTTAGGACGACCTGATACTTTGACAGTCGAATCTTGGTCTGGAAGATCCGACCCGGTAGCTTTCGGCTAGTCAGATTCTATAGAACAAACGTAACGGATAAACAAGCAATGCTTTCGCATCCGTTCGGTGAAATGGGAGTTACAGTGAATACCGTGATACTCAAAATCCTCGTCTTAATCCAAGCATGACGACTGCTGGGTCATTGGAGACCCGAATGGCTACTTAGACTCAGGACGCATAAATCATCGGCGAATATTATGTAGGATATTTATTAATCATAAAAAGCTTAAGCCACGAGACTAAGCAACTAATCCGCGCGCATAACCGTTCGCCTCTTCGCCGAGAAAGAGTATTTTTAATAAACCGAGAACGGTTCTCGGATACCTCTCCTTAAGACTCGATAATGCTTAATAAATAATGTTTGGTATGTTCGCCGGGATGATCAATAATTCTTATTTACTGTTTCAATGGGAATGGGATGCTCGCGGCTCGTCGCGCGAGGATTAACGCGGGGATCGCGTACGATCGAGGATTCGGGGGATGGAAATTAAAGTGGACACCGTGTACGATATCGCAACCGTGAAATTATTATTACTCTCTTACAATATCTGTCTCTTTAATGTTCTCCTTGAGCTATAAATCGTCATTCGTGTTTTGTACATGAAAGTATCCAAAAAGTCAAAAGCACTGTTCGACGCTTGTTTCCTCCGGGTCACGCTTAATGAGGGTCTTAAAAAAATCTTGGCGCGCGCGCTTCGCCTAGGTATTACTGCCATCTCTTCTCGTCATCTTCGCTCTCTTTCTTTTTTTTTGTTTTCTCAACGCATTTCCGTGTTTCTCTTATTATTCCTCCGTGGAGCGAGCCACGACTGTGTGGATTAATGAACACCGCGGTGCTTCCGACGATCGCTCGACAAGATCGAACCGACGCGAGACGAACGCGAGACGCTAAGCTCCCATTTCCTTCTTCGTTTGGCAGTGCGAAGCAATCCTCCTCCCCGTTTTCTGGTTTCGTTTCCTGCATGTCCGCGCAGCGTTCGATGCAACGCGTTTCACGCGCGATCCGCGAACCGAGGTGGCAGTCGATCGTCGGCGGTCCTTCGCACGGTTGGCAATCGTCGTCGTCGTTTGTGTCGCGATGCCCGACGATCGAGAACAAGCTCCCGACGTAACTGTACTCGACGCGACTGAAATCGATACGAACGAAACGAAACGAGAAAGAATGAAAATAATTACCGTGCCAACGCATCGAACCGCTACCCGTACGAATCCGGCGAGACCGAAGCGATTTAATTAACAGAACGGAAACTAAGAAACGAAGATTTATCACAGCTACTACATTTTTCATTTTCTTGCCATTTTAGCCTTTCGAATCTCATCGCGTTAATGGAGCAATGTGAATTAGCCTTGAAACGTTTACATCTGTATAAAGGCTCGAGGTATGTTGCTACGAAACAAGAATGCGTGTACCGATATCCTTGAGGAGGGTAATTAATCACGGTCCGAGCTGCCACATCGTCGGGATCGCGTGAAAAATAGGTTGCCGAAGAAACAACGATCGCGCGAGCGAGTCACGCGACGGATCTTCCCGGCAAAGAGAACGATGGCGGGCTTTCCAGTTTTCACTGGTGAAAGAGCGCTGCTTTCCGATTATCCAACGACTCGCCGCCGATCGGGAAAACGCGGTCGAAACGTAACACGCGCGCGGAACGTTCCCCCGCTGCTCCCCCTCGCTCTCGCGTTTTCATTTAGCTCGCGTCGAAAAGACGGACGCGGCCGTCGCACGCGATCTCTACAGCCTAGAACTCGTATTACCTGAAACTATGCGATCTATTTCTCTACTTGTTTTATGCAAGAGGCAAGCCGTCCTTTCTCTAAACCGAAGCGACACCGCAGCACTCGTGACGAACATCGAAATGCGGCCTACTCGACGAATCAGGGGAAACGCGTATGAAAAGAAGCGTCGGTGCGAGAAACTGATTCAGTATATCACTAAGCGTGGCTCGCGATTAACCCGTGTGTTCTGTAGCTGGTTCTCACAGTAATATTTCGTAAATAAACAAAACGCCTTTTAATTTCTCTTTAAAACTCATCGGTATTTTATATGAACCTCTTAGATATGGGCTGAGTCCAGACTCGATCTTATTTAAACCGTTAAACGTCTATATTTTTAATTGCTTCTAACCGTATATTCAATCTTACACGGGTCTCTGTTCAACTATTCTTTTCAAATGTATCTGTTTTCATAATTCTATCTGTTTTCGTTAAGTATCAATGACATTCGAGATGCAACAGTTCTTCCGAAGAACTCGACTCGAGTGAATAACGCACAGGGGTTAAAACGCGCGTGGATATCGACGAACGAAAGATACGGAACGGTCAGCGGAATAGAATCAAGTACCTGGAGAGTTTCTCTCCGAGAAGTGACAAGCGAACCATTCGTCACGACCGCTGCCCTCGTCATACACAGAATTCCTAATAAATGCGAATGCTACATCAACGACACGTTACGAGCAGACCGGTACTCGAGGCAAAGATCGGGACGCGGCACTCGATATTTACAGACCGGGGCGGGTCGGCGTGAGACGGGTGTTTTCGAGGCTCCTCGAAAAATAAAATTTCCCTCCCGTCCGTCGCGCCCACCGAAACTCGACGCAATCGTCCAAGTGTCCACTACGTTTATTTTTCGTTTATACTCTTTGTACATTTACAAGTCATGTCTCGCCGTGAAAACTAGAAAGCCGTCCGTCGTCACGAGCGGTCCTGACAGGCGCGTCGTTGTTCGTTGCTCCGACGAACCGAAGCTTCCATCGGCGCGCGTCTCGAGTATCAAAAGCGCCCGGCGTTTCGGAATTAAATATCGACGAGGATCCGTCGTCTACGCGGATCTATCTCGAGTGGAACGTTTCGGTGATACACACAGGTGACACGACGGTGAATGGATATCGATCGATTGGTCTGGCGGATCGAGCGTCGCTCGGTTTAATTCCGAACCGCTGGCACGTCGAGCGTCTCAAGCGGCTTTTCCTGCTCGATTTAACCCTTAAGTACGTTCTATTCGTAGATCTCAAATACTCGGTATTTATAGCGTGTCTATTTCGCCGTGTTGCGCGCGTGAGTGGAGAGAGAACGTGGAAATGTCGGGGAAAAAGAGCAGAAAGACGGAAAGAAAGTGGGGGGTCCGGCAGCTCCGATAACCAGATTCTAATCGGCGCGGAACGGTACTCAAGAGTTTAATCGGCGAGCGATAGCCGAATCGACGATAAACGGAAGAAGCGGCGCCTGTTGCCGAGCAACCGTCGGCCATCTCGTGAAAAACAAAACGAACGAATCGCTAACGTTGTCCCCGGCTCTACGTCTAGCACTGATTCTCCGTTGGTAAAGCGATCGGCCGACGTCGCGACGCCTCTGACACGAGAAAGAGACGGCACGCGAGTCTACCTCCCGGTAGATAGCGATGATTCCCTTGTGCTTCGGAACAACCGCGTCAAAGGGAACGCGATAGTCGATCCGACGAAGGAAGGGAGTCGCGGGGAGAGAGAGAGAGAGAGAACGAACAGAGGAGAGAGAGATTTCCAACGATAATCCTCGTTCCCATTTAATCATTTTCATCTTTCGTCTAAAGCGTCCCTCATTTTTCCTCTAGATTTGCAAAAATACGACGTCCACCGGCGTCCACCTTCCCTTTCGTACTTTGTCCCTTTCTCTCACGCTTTCTCGCCCGTCGTTTCTTTGTTCTGCAGTCCTCCCCGCCCCTCGAAAAACCGTGATTCGATTTTCTTTTATGTACAGAATGCGTCTCCCCAGTGTATCCCGGCGTTCTCCGCCGCGCGGCGTCTCTCCCTTTTCCTCTCTGCCACGCTTCTCCCTTCCTTGAACAGCGTTTCTCCGTCGTTCCACACGTTTTACACATGTACAAACGCAACACCGGGCGCCGAGGAGAAGCGGCAACGGACGAGAAACGCGGCCGTCGAAGGTGATTCTCTAAAACGGAAAGGAGACTCGAGAGCGAGCCTCGCTCTGCGTCTCGCCTCGCCGTATGCTGCGGATTCCTTCGGATGGCCGGTGATTATCTACATTATCTTACGCAAAGTCTTTACAACGCCTCGCTAAAATATACATTTACAGTTATAAAGTCGCCGCGGGCAAAGGTGTCGGTACAACGCGAGAAAATCCTCGGTATAAAAATGAAAGGGGAATGGGGGAACGGGGAAATCGTGAGGAAACGGGTCGGAAGGATAATCGCGAAACGGGGAATAAGTGCGCGCGGTCATCTCGACGATAGAGCAGGAAGATTAAGGAAAAATAAAACAAGCGTACAGCAAATTATCTTTTAATCGAACTTAAATGTGAAACGCTGACGGTTTTGTCTTCCCCTCTACGCCCCCGTCTGTCTGGATCGTTTTGCCTCTTTTTACCTCGCGGAACGGAATTTTCCTCGTTAAGCGGGCGATTTTGTGTTCCGATCGATCGAACTGACGCGACCGTCTTCAAGATTCGTAGGGGTTGAAATCGATAAAAGAATCACTAAATTATAAGCCTCGCGCGTTTTCGTGTACGCCGAACGCTTGTCGGTTCGACGGTGATCGATGAATTTTCTACAATTATAATATCAAACGAAACTTATCGATCGAATGCGATCGTCGCGAATTCCTTTTCGGTCTACGCGGTTCAAACTGTATCCAATAATTTTCTTGCGATTATAATACAAACGTCAATGATTAAGGTTCTAAAGTGATTAAGCACAGTCGTCGGGCAGCCGATAAAGAGGCTCCGAGCGAGCGAAGCGTTTAAACCACCAGGCTCGACCACGATCAGCGAAACGGAAATTTCGAAACGGGCGCCGAATAGACTCGGGGGCTATCGAACAACTACCTCCGCCGCTAAAAATATTTTACGCTACGGTCAATTATACCACGAGATCAAGCGCGACTGAGTGGCCGAAAGTTTCCCCCGCCGTTCCACCCCCGTGAATCAAATGAACGATTTACCCTAAACCGTGCGAATAACCGCTAAATTATCTCTACCTAATGAACGCAATTCCCATCTAAACCTAATTATTAGATCGCCGCTGAACACGATCGACGATTCCCTAAAAATGAACTCCGAACCGTTTGCGAGTAACGAAAACAAACGCGAGAGATTATTGGTCCCAGCCGTATGATAAGACGAGTTTCCTTTTGATCCGCGTCCCGACAACGGACGAACGAACGAACGAACGAACGGGGCTGACGGTCTAACGCGACGAGAGTGGACCGAGAGGGAACGGCGATCGAGCACCGCGATCAAATCACGCCACGAGATGTGAATCGATGAACACGAACAGGCATGGGGACGAACACAAGAAATCACAAGAAGCTGGCAGCGCACGGGACACGCGTATGGCACTGAGGGTAGATGCCAAAACGGAACCGGAACGAACGTTCACCCTTCTGTTGCGACAGCTGACCGAGCTCTTCACCAGCTGAATTTTCTATTATCTTTTTTTACTCCGCTAATCGTTTCTTCCCATTATCACGTCACGATATATCTACATTAGTGTACAAACTAGATAGTTTACCTGTATCGCGGCCGAATCTTTGTTCCGTTCATTGTACGCCTCGCCTTGGTAAACGTCCAGGACTAAGAATCACCCGGTCGAGTAAAAAGAAAAAGAAAAAAACGATCGAGTTCCGCGATATTAGAAGGCAGCGAACGTTACGCCGAATCTTGCGCGGGTCAGTCAACCCCGCAACGAAAGGGTTTAGAAAGAAGAGAGAGATTGTAATAGTTGCGTGAAACGAGCGACGACGGCGCGTCGTTAACGAGGAGAAATAATCGTGTCTCGGCGATACGGAAAAAAGAGGAAAACGGAAGAGTCGCGCGAGGGAATGGAAATCGATCGGTCGCGTCTACGGCTGAACGGGGGATGATGACGCGTATACACAGAGATAGAGCTATACATATACATATACACATATATAACCGTACAGGTGTATATACGTCTTTGTCACGTTCGTTCTCTGCTTTATGTTTTCGATGGCAGTGCCTTGGTTCGCGTCGGTCGACGTCAGTTGTTGGCAGTAGTCTCGTTTACGCGCTCGCTGAGGAGGGGATCGACGAGGAGGAACGATCGCGGCGCGCGATCGGCGAGACGGGTGAACGATCGACGGGGATCGGTTTAAAATACAAGCGTGAAACGAATAAGGCTTCTAAGGATCGTCTACCGCGATAACGTTACGGTTGGCAGTGCGCGATTTTTGGCAGTGACGCGTTACATTTCATATCCCCGGCTCTCCCTCCGTCCCCGTATCCGGCGTCGATCGGTCTCGGCCCTCGCGGATCACGGCCCACCGCGATTCACCTCCAAAAACGAGTGGCTCCCTCGGATTGAAAAAGAACAATCTTTCGTCCGCTTGAAGTCGCAAGCTGATAGGCTGATCGCCACCGGGCGATCCATCGATAATTTCGACTAACTATGTACACGGTGTCTCGCGACCGCGTCCCGTCGCCGGTGAACGCGCGAACCGACGCGACGCGACGCCATTTACAAAGTCGAACGAAATCTCTGGGCGCGGCCGCGCGGCTGCAGCGAACGGGACGCCCGACGCGCCTCTTATACAATTTCTTCGCGGGCAACTAGAGATCTATCGGATTACACGTATAATCGTAATAATAATAGTAAGAATAATTAATCGATCAATTAGCCTAGAGTTCTTAATTACAATCGTATTGGCAGTGTTTCTTAGCTGGTGTGTGTAGGTGTGTTTCCGTCCGTGTGTGTCCCAAGCACTCGTCGCTCTCTACGCGCGCTAACAATTCATGTCGTTCCCTGTCTCTGTACACGTTCTACCTTCGGCCAGTGATCCTCCTTCCGCTACCTTAGCTACACAACACGTCATCGACACGTATTCCCTAACCCTTCTCGCCTCGGTTCCCTTAATTTACAAGCATTCATCTGTTTATCCACTACAATTATATATGTATACACGTGCGCGATCACATTCCGCAATGTCAGAAGTTATAATTCGCGATACGAGAAATATACTTCTACGATCTCGGCCTGTCTACATCTATGAAAATAGCGATTCGACACGTTTCCGAGTGTTCTCGCGCGAGTCTCCCTCCTTGTCTTTCTTCTCTCCTCCTTGTTCTGCTTCTATTCTTGCTCCTCCATCTTCTTCCTCTTCTTCTTCTTGTTCTTCTCATCCTCCTCCTCTTCTTACACCTCCGAGCCCTTCTCCTCTTCGTTCCTCGTTCGTTAGTTTATTTCTCTTCATAATACATCTTCCAAAGCCTGTGCAGCAACTCCGTGGAAAATGTAACACAGCCATCGTGTTTTCTATCTCCCTATACAGAGCAACAGCTTCTCGCGTACGCGAACGCGTACAGCACGATGCGCGAATTCGCTTTCGTTGCCGAGCTTCGCCGATCCGCTTCCGCTTCCGTATTTCTATGTCTTCGTTTCGGCCCAGGTATCTCCGACTCGGGCGTGGTTCGAACGGTTGTTGCTTCGGATCTTGGCCTGCGGACTTTGATTCGCCTCGAGTCGATAGAGTGGCGTTCGCGCGGATTCATGGAACTGAGACATGTGTGCTGGTCGATCTTCGGTGATGAACGATGGCGAAAGAAACCACGAAAGATACGAAATGAAAATAGAAACCGAACAGTGAATTGTTTGCCGTCGAACGGTCGAAAAATACTCGATCCGGAGATTCCTGGTTTCGGCGGTGATCTCGACGACGCCGACTCGAGAGATAAGAACGAGAGGGGTGAACGGAGAGAAACGATTTCTCGATTTCGATCTTTTCTCCGCTCTTCTCTTGTCTTCTCTTTTCTCTTCTTCTCTTTTGGTTCGCCGCGCAACGACAGGTTCGCGTTGGCATGCTGCACGTGGATCCGGCAGAATGATAAAAAATAGGCGACTATTGAAACCACGCCGAGACGTCGGACACGCGTCGCGCGGCAAGCATGTCCCGGGTCCCGGGGATTCTTACTTTTGCTTTTCGTTTGCATTTTGTACAGCGTCCCTTTTTCTCCGGAAAGGTAATTACGGAATATACCTCGATAGAAATCTCGTTGGCGAACGGGTCGCCCGACTGAACGGTATCTGTCACGTGGATTATCGGTATTAATGATGAACGAGCCAAAAATGTCGTCTTCTCTTCGTTTTCGTTCGATGCGCTCAATTTTCTCCGTCTACCGTGTGCCTTCTTTTCGGATTCTCTACTTCTACGCATCTCTTTGTTCCCTCCCTCTTCCCCGCCGCACGACGACGGCCAGCGAAAATTTCTACCGAGCTGAAGATCGAGGTAGATGCATCACCTTCCGAGAGTTGGTCTCAAGGGTCGAGAATGAGTCAGAAAAAGTTCGCGGTTCACGCCTCCCTTCTCCGCCCCTATCTCCTGGCCTCTATCGCGGGGCACTCAAACAGGGCCCGGAAGCGCCAAGGGGCCGTTGCTAGATATTAATTGATTCCTAAGGCCACCAGAGTGATTATCTCCTTATCCACCACGCGTTAACTAACGTTTAACAGTTTATTTTTCCTCGCTTCTCTTATGCTTTCAGCGTCATCGTCGCGGTCCTCCTCGCCCTCGAACGCGAATCGAGCGGTTCGCCCCCCGTAAAATCTCCGTCGCGGTGTCGCGCAATCGTCGTCCCTCTCCTCGACTCTCGATCCTCCCTTTTTTTTCGCATTTTTCTTCCTCTTTAAATTCCATATTAAATTCAACTCCACCGTCCGGTCATTGGTCTTCGCACGGCGGTCAACGATATAAAACGTATCCACGGTGAGGCACTTTCGAGGCCCAAGCCCAGCTCTTCCGAGTCCAACGAGTGCCGGCTTGCAGGACAGGCACTCGTGGCAGGAATCGACCCCAAACGTATGGAGACTCTTTTCTCTTTCGATATCGATAGGCAACAAGAATATCCTTTTCATCGCTATCCACGACTACTATTACAGTTTTTACCTAACGACCAACGGATTTAGGCTAAATAAATTAGAATGTATTGTTCCTCCTAGCGGGTGCTTATTGCTGCATCCGTTCCCGGTGTTCTTTCGATTTGTTTGTCCCATCTTCGTTTCGTTCCCCGACCCCGTAACGCGGGTACCTCGTAGGAGCCGCGGTTACGGGACTCGCGTCCCTCGTCTGTGTCTTTTATTAGTCTTCGTCTTGGACTCGTCTTGCTTCGTCGTCCCCGTTCGCTCGCGCCGTTTTCCTCGCCTCCTTCTTCCGGCTCGCGCAGACGGAACACGTCTAACTCCGGTTATGATACCTTCTGGACACGTTCTGGTTCCGGTTCCCTTGCCGGGCTCCTCTCTACCCAGACCAGGAAGCACGATCGTCCTGATACAGGACCCGTCCCTAATTCTGGCTTAGTCGTCGCTGCTTCGTCACACTTGTCCTCGATCACCGCGGCCGACATTATCACGAGTTCTTGACCGGTTTCCGGCGCTGCTTCGGCCGCGTCAACGGCGGCGTGCCGCCGCTTATCGCCGAATACAGCGCCACACTCACCTCTTCCGGATTGGCGGACGCCACTTTGCGTATCCCTACGTTCTTCGTGCTTCGGACCTCGGACTCGAGCACCCACTCGTCTGGCTCGCTGGTGGAACATTTCGGATTCGATCACACGCTCGGTTTAAACCGACGGGCAGAACAAACGATCGGAAATGGTCACTTTCGATCCCTCAACTGTCGAGTTTTCTCGGTGAACGGTGTTACTCGCGGACTTTGAATGGACTGTTGGTATTCCCATTTGCCGATGAAATTGTTGAACAAAAATGACCATTTCCGAGGAGGAATTCCGAGGAGTACTCACATATCTGGAGGATACCACCGCAACAACACTTTAGTCTTTCCATCCATTTCCACTCTTCGAGCTAAAACCTGCGGCAAAACGGGAATGTTACACGTCTGATGTGCTGATACGGTTGAAATATTCCGGCAGTTCTCGTCGAATTCGCTTACTTGACTAGTTAGGGCCATTGAGTTTCCTGGTGTCTCGGCGAGACGACCTTGCGTCCTCGATTTCGCCAACTGGAGTAACCTGTGCTGGAGGCCTTCCATCACTCCCGAGTCGAAGTAGTCGAACAGTCTCGCTGCAATATAGGAAACAAAGTCTCGTCATCATTTCTACATCATTTAACCAGTTGGCTACGTCGCGCCGCTATAGTAGCTCGCGCGGCTACCATTTCTCCGAACGGTACACCTATAGTGGCTCACTTCTACCCTGTCATATTCACACCGTCGTGCATTCTAACATAACTACACGGTGGAAATCCCTTTCAACTCTGAAATCGCAATTTACGGCGAACATTGCCGTACAGTAATAAGTCTCGGCGTAGCGACAAGGTTAATCTTGAAAATCTTCCACTTTAAATCAGCAGGTACATCCTTCAAAGGCTTGCAAACCGTTTGCAACATTGAATTTCGCGCGAGCAGGTTCCGGCGAACGGTAAATCCCTGACGATGCGACTACTCACCGGACCAAGGTTGTCGCCTGTATCTGAGCCGCTTCCCATTTCTTCTGACCAGCTTCCCGCCGCTCTCGCAGCTTCGCCTGCCGGTGTTGTTGCTGGTTTCCGGTTGGTTGAAGTGTCCGTTCACGTGCCTCTCGAGAGCGGTCTGAAAAACGAAGTCGGATTTATTCAAGACACGGTATTCCGGCACCTTCCAGGGAGAGCTTATCGTTCCGTTACTTTGACGAGGACAATTTTTCGAATCGAGAATCGATTCCGCTGTATCCAACGAGTATACTGATGGAGTACAACACCGATGTGTTCTGGTTCTGCTCTGTGTATGCAACGATCGTTTCGACGAGACGCGAGGATCGAGACGTGAAGAAATAGAGAAAGACACCCAGAGACGTTCGACGAGGGGGATGAAAAGAATCACGACGGACAGTAGTCTCAGCTGTCCCTGGAAAATGCACACCTTCCGAGGACAGTCTGACCGAGGCAACCGGCGGCTAATTGCCTCGACCACACGGCGACGGTTCACACGACAGACATCGTTCGAAGAGCCTTCGTCGCAAGTCAGGAGACTGGTGGACCGTAGGACGTTCAGACGAAATATGCGCGCGTCCTGTCCGTTCATCGCTTCTTAACGCTTCCGGTGAGCAACATGATACCTTGGCTCTCAATTTTCACAGAAAGTACGACACGAATCGGTCGTTCGGTCGATTGAATCTTACAAAAGCTCGGCAAACGACTTCCATTAAGAACGGAATCAAAGAGTCGTCGTTGGGATTCAATCGGAAATTTGAAAATTAACGCCGGATAATCCAGGTATCACTAAGTGAGGCGTCAAGGGCTGAAAGAACACGGATCGGCTTAGAATCTAAGGACGCAAACCAGGGAGTACATCGAGATCGACGAATATTACCATCACGGAAAACAAAGTAAAGAAAAACAGTCAGACGGCTGAACTTCGAGCGTCCTTTCTCACACTTCGGAGACAAGGTTCAGGACTAACGAAGATTCGCGTAGTCCCTGATTCATACCCATGATACATTACCCAACGAGTCAACAACACAAGAAATATAGTCATCTGGAATGATGCATGTCAACGCAACACGCCTGAGCGCGTTCGGTTGAATGCTTGGTGGTCAGAAAAACAAACGGATTATTTCAATCAATGATCAATGTCCACAATGTTCACGCTGATCAGCCGAAGGGGGGTCGTCCACAGACATCCGTGGAACGAGGCGAAACTTTGTTCAGTACGATCGTCATTATCGGGATGCATCGGACAGGCGATTTGCCATCAGCATCCGCGATTCATCATTGATTCCCGCGCACTTAACAACAATCTCCGTTTCGTTAAAATGCCTCCGAACCGAGACATCTCTATACCTGCGAGCTGAATCTGCTGCCGCAACCGTCGACGATGCACCGGAACGGTTTGTTCCCGCCGTGGGACAACACGTGCCGCTCCAGCCACCTCCGCGAGCAGGAACTCCTCCCTTGGACCTTGCAGCCCTGCCACTGGCACACGAAATTGTCGCCGCCGGTCTGCGTGTTGATGTGCGCCGCCTGCAACGGATTTCCTTTCTTCGTTTCTGTCCGCTCGTTTCTTAATTACGGGGTCAAGTGCGCAGAGCTCCGGCCGGAGCGACGAGGGATCGAGGGGCGCGGATCGCTGCACAGCGCGCGCGGGGAAACCGTACCCGACGGACGCACGGTAGCCGCGGAGGTGTCGCGGTGTCGATTACACGGCGCAAAAAACCGACCGGCGGAAAAGTTTTCGGCTTTCGCGAAGTACAGCAACATTGTAACTGAAGACCGAGCAACTCGACACCCCAGCTTCGTTGTTCCCTTTGCGATCGCCACGCCTGAACTTCCGTAGATAACGCCGGCCACTCGGTTAGCGCTTTATTAGAACTATTTCGCTCGGATCGTATGACTTTCAATTAATCGGCCACGTTGGAATCTAAACCTGTATTCGATCTCGCACTGCCAAGAAATCCGATCGAACAATAAACTGTATTCTACTTTCGTAATCTATTACTTTTGAAATTGCAATCGCGTCAGGAGATACGTCGTTCCGAGCTGAGTGGTTAACCGATCGCAAGGGAAATCGAAGCAGAAATCGTTACCGGTACGAAACGAAGGCTATAAGAGAGCCACACCTGTAGATGTTCAAGGAGCCCTCCGCTGGATTCGAAGCTCTCCTCGCACTTGTCCCATCGGCAGACGCCGCTGTCCGTCGTCTGTTGCCGATCCTTCTCGGGTTCTCTGGCTGGAAATCGTATGGTAGTCGGGGCGGAGAGTATCGGCGAAAGCGGTGGTTTCGACTCGCTGTTCCTCGACTCGCAGCTCCTCGACTCGCTGCTCCTGGAGTCCTCCTCTTCCTCCTCGACGTCGTCCTCGTCCGCTGGACTCGCCTGCGTGACCTTCGCCTCGGTGTCCTCTGGCACCGACAGCCTGGACAGTAGGTCCTGGCCGCCCTGTGACCTCAACGAGCCCAGGATCGACCCGCAGCCGTTCGTCAGGTTGTTGTTCTCGTTGACGTGCGGCTTCGACAGGATGCACCCCTTGAAGTCGAGCGCGGTGGCCTCGGTGGTGGCGGCGGGGGTCGGCGCCGACTGCTGCGAGATGTTCTTCGCGTTCGGGCTAGCTTCGGACGTTAACCTACGCGGTTTAAAGGAACGCTTGTAATTAGAGATCGCGACCATCCCGTCTTCATCGGACCCTTGGCTTCGTTGCCATATTCTATTAGGACGGGTAGTGCTACCCCCGGCAAAAGGTATGTAACTGGCGGAACGTAATAGTTATCCACACATCCAGAACATAAAAAGACTCTACACAAAAGGGAACGTAACAATAACAAGTGTTTCCATAGAAATCAAAGGCTAAATACAGATATGAGCATGTTTGTTCGCTTGTATGGTAGAGGAACTGAAAAATGAATGCTAACTCCGGAAAGCGTTCAATCATCTTGTCAGCATCGAAAGCATCACGTTACACATTGTTTTATAGTCTTTTGGAATCCGTATGCGACTTTATCTTTATCGACAGAGTTATCTACAATCTACGAGAGAACGCGATTTCCAATTTGTGTACTTTCTTTAGCCGTGTGGCACGGTAATCGAATGCTTCCCGCCGGGGGCAGTGAAGCTACTAAACCAAAGAACAAGAACAAGGCGACTTGGAGTGTAAGCAGAGAGATGAAATGATTAGATGGCTGTTCCGTACCTCGAAAGCCGACGAATCGACTGTTAGACGCAAGTATTGGGATTCGCGATGAGCTGGGCGTACAGACGGTTACAATGTCTGTAACTCGGCGTCCCTGCTTGTTGAACGGTAACCTACCTGATCGACGTGATCTTGCAGCTTGGCATGTTCTTCAATACGTCATTCGAGATGGGCAGACTGGGCACTGGTTTCGGTAACTTCTTGTCCATCTTACCATTGGTCCTCGGCACGATTACCGGCGGTGTCTTTTTCGTCGGCGGCGGCGACATTGTCAACGTTCTCACTTCCCAATCGTTGCTGGACGCGTTCCTGCCGTTCGGCGAGACGGTGCCCAGGTACTTGGCCAATCCGCCCTTGTTCCTCTGCACCGTGGGTGGCCTCCTGAACTCCGACGAGCTCTTCGCAACCAGCACTGACATCGTTTCGCTGTTCTTCTTGATCTGCGCTCACACAACGAGCACCGCAATATTAATAATCGCTCGTTTAACGATACCCCCTCGTTACACGGGGAGAATTAATTAATAAGCCCGCGTGCGGTTTTCGTTTATGATTTAATGCGACTCGTAATATTCGCCTGCCGGCCATCTATTACGCGTCGTTCGACAGCTTTTGTTTTCTTCTTTACTGTATATTCTACCGCGGGACTTCCTTCCGCAGGATAATAAGAATCCATTAACTCCGCCTTCCACTATTCTCGATTACTTGTAATCGATTACGTGCAACCTGATGTTTGTATAACTGAATATTTACATAGCTATCTCATCAGAACAGACTGTTCTCTCAGAGTTCAAACGAGAGCACGCGATGAATCTAAATTTCTCACGATGGACAGATCGACTACACAAAGAAATAGAAAAAACATCCTTCAAGTATTTCTAACATATATTCTCTAAAATGAATTACTAATAACAAAGAAGAGATTTTAATATTATATAATTGCACAGTGGAAGGTTCTATCAGTCTCCAATCACATTTATACCAAACCGCCTCAAACCCCGCACAGGAGCACATCTTCGTTAACCCTTTGCACTCCAGAAGTTTTTCATTAGAAATACTTAATATTTTACACGTCGGTGCATTGTACAAAGTTTAATATTAAATATCAAACTCTATAATTCTGCTGTATCAAATCAATTGGCGACTGAGAGGCGCCTACGGAGTGCAAAGGGTTAAAGTACCTAAAAGGTTAAAACCGTAGCGTAGCGAACCGATTCGCCAGGTGTCTGATCTGTTACCTTGGACTGCTGAGGCTTGATCTGAGTCTTGAAGTACTCGGTGATCTTCCCCTGGGTCTCGTGATGGTGGTGACCGGCGTTTGGTTTGCCGGTGCTCGACTTGCCGGTCCCTCGGAAGGTTGGGTCCGCGGCCCCAGACCTCGGTACGGCGCCAGCCTCGGGCTCGCCCTTGAGCCTCTTGTAGGTCGAGCACGCGGTGGCCGCCAGTGGCGGGGTCCAGGGCCACTGGGGCCTGGTACCGATCTGCGAGGACGGCGCCAGCTTGGGTAGGGACGGAAGTGGACTGGCGGACGCGCCACGTATCGCTACCCCCTCGTCGCTGCTCGTGCTACACGGGGAACCCGGCTCCGTGATGTCGCTGGTACCGCTGCTGCTGCACTCCCCGCAGGACACCGCGACGCCACTGGAAAATCGGTTTCAACCGTTACACGGAGTCCGTCGTCGTTCTCTCGAGTGGCTTGCGTAACGCGGACCTCTTGGTCCGAGCGGTCGAGAGGGGTCTTAACATGCTTCTGGGACTCTCGGGAAAGCGCTAACACGCTCGGCACAATAAAATAAATGTTCGACCGTCGGACTACACCGATCAGATGTTTCTACCGCTGTCGTGAAGCGGGAATGGCTACCGGTGGACACGCTGTCTTCGTGGCAACGAATTAAGTTACAAATCATGGCCGTAGAAGCCGTTAAAAGGTGTTAACCTCTTGCGCTGGGAAGATGTACCCGTAGACGTCGAGATATTTTTCTTCGAGAATTGATGACGTTTTGTAAACATTGATCTGTCGTTGCATTGGACATGCTAGGTTCTTTTGAAATGTATCGGTTTGTAAGCTATTAATGTATGAAATTAGTGTATGTATCTGTGAAATAGGTGAAGGCAGAATTCTTGGAGAGACTTGGATTTCTAAATTAAATTCCAGTGCAAGAGGTTAAAGGTGAGATCGGTTAGATAGAAGCAAAGCCTCGCGTGTTTTTAGGCACTTCGTGCGATCTAGACTTTGTTTAGTACTTCTTCAAGAGTAAAGGTCTCTAAATGAATTTGTTCTCTGAAGGAGCTAAATAGTGGATCTTTCATAATCTCCAATTATTACTCAATGAAGAGATTACGCTTAATTATCGTTATTAGCCCTCTTCAGGGTGAATACACGCAGCAGTTCCGAAGCGTGAATAAGAATTAGTCGGTTCCCGGTTGCCCAGCCGTTTTTTCCTCGGAATCGGCGGTACAGGAACCGGTCGGAGAGGACAGAAACGGCCACGAGGAAATTGCGACGCTTACCGGGTAACGACGTTACCAGCAGCGCGAACCTAATTACAGGGTCAGACATTGGCAATTGGCCCGTCGTTTCGGAAGCCACGAGCCGTCGGGCTCTGGCTCATCCTCGTCAGATTTGCAAGCGACGCGAGCGCACGGCAAAGGTCGACGGATTGCAGGAACGAGGAGAATTAACGGCGTCTCGTGGCTTTCTCGAAACGACGCCCTCTCTTGATTAAGGCTCGCGGGAAAGAAGGACATCAAAGATCCCGGAGATAATAGGAAAATCCTTGCAGCCGGAATTATTTCGCCTTTGTTTCCCATCGTTCCTCGGAATTCCACGGAGTTCGCGTTCAGGGTATTGCCGACTGAGAATCGCTAGCATTTTCGCGTACGCTCTGCACTAAAATCGGTAAGAACCGAGGAGCGAAGATTCCTGATTACTTGGTAAACGTTTCATCAGCGATAACGATGGGAGCTATAAAGAATAACTACTTGCTTCAACCTTTTGCACTCGAAAGTTCGGTGGATATACTCAACGATGATTTTAACGATTTTAACATGGAACACGCTTTACTGATATTAAAGGTTAAACTTCATTATTTTAGTGTATCGAGTCGATCGACGATTGAGTTACTTCCCGTACGCGAAATGTTAAGATCCCAGTTTAAAGGAAAACTCGGAGCGAACATCGAGAAGCCTATTAATAGGGTCTCGGTAAGCAAAGTGTTAAGCTCGCGAAACAGAAAACCTCGCTGGCCGAGGAGCGCACCTGCGTTACGCGAGCTTGGCGGCGAAAGACGTATGGTGTGGCTGGAGTTCGTGTTTCGTCGACAGGAAAGAAAAGAACACCGACAGGAACGAAGCCCGCGCGCCGTTAGAGGAAGAATTATGTAGATTCACGCGGGCACGTAGTATCGACGTTTCCTTGGTCGCGGGTAAATACGTTACGGCTTCCCTTTATTTGCCAGAAATGAGTAGCGGCGCAATTAGACACTAATACAGGAATGCTCGAATAATCGAGTCGCTTTTATGTTGTTCATTCTCGACGGTAACACTCGTGTTACGCGGCCGATTACACGTGACGAACTGGCAACAAGAGGGGCTTATGAAAGATAGATTGAAACGGGAATGCCCGAAGAATGTTAAAAGAATATTTAACCGTCTATTGTAGCGGGGAACACGTGCAACGAGGCATTATCGATATCGCTAAACACATAATCGCGTAATTTCCTGCAACTGCATTCCGCTGTCCGGCGAGAATGTTTCTCTTCAATCAGCGTTCGCTGCGAGGAGGAAAAAAATAAAATGGTCGTATCTCAATCCCACCGAGAAGCGACGCCGCATTCCCACCAGGACGCGAGTACAATCTCTCGTTCGTTAGCGAAGAATCCGCGCGCAGCCGCGACTTTGTATCTTCCTGTTCCGACGCGGGAAATTAATTCCACGCTGATCGCGCCATTCGCGGGATTACACGGGGCTCGGCGTCTCGTTCGCGGATTTTTCAGGCGTCGTTTGCGCCTCGGGGAACACGGCTTCGATTCCGGTACGCGCGACTTTCCTTACGGTACCCCGAGAAACTTGCATAATTCCCGGGGCCCCGTGTAGTTGCAGTCGGCGCAACGCGCCCGTACGCGAATAATCCATTCGCGTTCAAGCGGAGCCGAACGCGTGCGTGCCAGGCGACCGGATCGATAGAACGTTTGATAATAAAACGCGCGGCGGTCGTCCGACCGTTTCTATCCGTTCGAGAGATCGAAACGGGAGCCGGCCGGTGCATCGATCAGCCCCGAAACTGCTACCGGTCGAACGTATTAGGAATCGTCGATGAAAGTAATGAAACGTAATGAATCAATTAACCCTTTGCGCACTAAGATTCTTTGAAATATACAGAACCTACAGATTCTGACAAATTAGATATTGATAGCTTAAATGATTGAGAATAGGGAAACTATGTACGGATCTCTTTGGCTAATTAAATCATTTGCTCGGTATTTAGTGTTCCAAATATGAACATTTCACCTCCACGTTCGTCCACAAAGGGTTAAAGGGAAAACAGATCTCCAGGGCTACGAATAAATCAACAAGGAAACGTTCCGAGTCGATTGATCATTAGTTTTTTAATTGCTTTAATGGTTCTGTCGAAGTAAAACTCGAAAGTATCTCCACTAAGCACGCTGCAATTTCATTACATGTTAGAATTCAGCTCTACAAGTTTCATGATATATTGCCGAGGTGCAATATTATTGATTTATAGAGGAAAAAATCGATTTTTTGAACCGGTTACGCAAGAATACCCCCTTAACCGCGGTTACGGCTCGCGGACCCGGACGCTGGTAAAGCTGGCTAACCTTGCTAACAACTGGCTGCTCAAACCTGATCGCTGCCTTTGGTGTTCACGATATCTGCGATTTTTCTTTGGCAAATGAATTTCGTAGGAAACGTTCGCGTCCGATGGAAATTTATTCGCCTCGCGCGGGACTTTAACGTATACGTAATATGGAAAGCTTCTATGATATTTCCTTGCGTTTACTAATTAACTATCACCTCCGCCGTAAATTCCGGAATATATACTCGGACGTCGGTGTATACTCTTTGGAATTCTAAGATCGTTCCACGGCTAATTCGTACTTGTTCCATAAACTGTGATACTTAAGAATCTCGTAGCATCCAATGCCTGCAGTTTGATGCATTGCATTAAATTCAACGGTTACTCTTACAATCGCAGAGGAAAAAATGCTAATTACACCCGCGTAATAAGAATCGTAATTTTAATTTCACAGCTGGCCGTAACGCAATTATGTCGCATTACATCCTTGTAACCTCGTAAAGTAATTTCATTGAAATAATACCTATTAATGCGCAAACTGTTGCGCGATTAGCTTTAAATTCGTCCGAGTACACACGCGGAATGCGCGCTAATTCATTTAGATCATAAAAGAGAGATTAGAGATTACGCCCCTTTTATTGCATCTTAATACTTCGAAATTTGTCTCAATGTCGGCGGCTAATCTTAATGTATCGTGCATCAATCCCGAGTTCTTGTTGATAAAACGCTGCTGCTATCTCGGCCACTTAACCGTCGCGTAAAGTTAACCGTTGTTTTATATCCGCCTACCTGTTTCAAATTTTATGTAAAGGCCTCCGCTAAGGCGAGCCTATTACGCGAAGTTCCTTTCGTTTCGCTTATTCCACTTTCACCGATTCCAGCCCTCGCCGTTCGGCCGTCATTATCTATCTACCCTCCGGCTCCCGCGAGCCCAGAAGAACGTTATTCGGAAACATAAACGCGTTTCGCGTCGCGTTACAGCAAAAAAGCCGTTCCAAGTTTAGACATAAATTCAGAAGTCCTCCAGGAACTCCGAACTTACGCCCCTGGAAGCTAATTTGCAGCCGCCGTTCGGAAAGGTTCAGCGATAATGTATTCCGATATCGTTAGACAAAGACGTCATCGCACCTCTGGAGAAACATAAAACAGTATCTGTTCGCGCGCACGATAAATTTCTACTGTTTTTGTAAATGTAAAAATAATACGTTAACTAACGCGTTAACTAACGCGTTTCTCCATAGGTTATCTTGTATATTACGACTGTTTCCCACTAACCATCCCCTTATCTTATACCTGCACGATTTAAAGATTCTTCTAATCTGTTTAACCCTTTATCGACGTTTCGAAATATTCATGTTCCGACGACTAAGTCGCAAACAAATGATTAAATCGCTCGAACAGCAAGAAATCACAACATAGCTTCCTCTATTATTCAAGCAATCGATACATAAACTAGCTCCATCCGAGGGTCATCTATATTTCAGAGAACCTCCCTCTGCAAAGGGTTAAACGCAGAAAATATGTACAGCTATGGAATATCACGACGTAACGATACAAGTCACCTGTTCCTCTATATCCCCGCTCTCCGCGAAATCTACGCGCGATTACGGACCCGATCCGCGCATCGTCCCGCTGGAAACCCACCAGATATGATTCGACGCGCGATCGCTCGCGGCGGTATCACGAAAAAACTCGTGACAAGGTGTCGCTCGTAAATTCCGGGGGAACGATGCTCGAAAGACGAACAGCCGCCGCGGAGAAAGAAAGGAAGGAGGGTGAAAGGAGGACACGGGCGCGCGCGCGCGCGCGACGGTTTTCGCGGCCG